AAATGCCAACCACTCCTCATTTTACTTGAAGACGTATTCAGCCCTACTTGACGGCTTACACCCAGTGGGAAATCTAGAGAAGCTATAGTAGATAAACTCGTTTAAACTATGTGTCCTCATGGACTTACTTCAACACAAGAAGCAATATCAAACTTAAAGCATACACAAAACACAATTACAAACCAGTTTTGTACATCCGCATTACGATGTCATTAAGGTAAATAAGTCATGCCTTTGCTTTCGTAACCTAAGTTAATGGAATTTAGATAAACAGGGAGCAGAATAGCACCAGTGAGACAAGAAGGAGTCGACTTTGAAACATAACGAAACAATTTAGGCTATTCTTTGCGCTAGATAGTTTTGTTTTGGGCCTGATTTCCTTTCAGATGCTGATCGCTGTAAGTGGTGGCCTCACACGAAGTCCTTACATTACTGCCGCCTACGATCCTATTGAAATCCATGCTTAACCAACGCAACCCTGGATGCTTAGGCTTGTGAATAGAATGTCGAAGTTAGGTGTTAAAATTCGGTTCTTTAATTCAAAACCATTAGACCTGGCTTCTACCCATTTCCTTCGTGCTCTTGCATCACGATGGACTCACTTACAATGGCAAGGTTTTCCAAGGTCTTGAGTTACGAGTTTACCCAATACTCAGTCGGACTTTGCAGTTCCACTTCTAGGTTCAGCGAAGTTCAGCTCATTTACTTAGTCCTCCTTGGTTATCTTTGCTAACGCAACTGTACTATTCTGCATATGAACCAGTGCTTAACTTGACTAACCCATAAAGACCGGTTTAAAATGGTATTTCCACCAATGCTCAAAAACACGAGCCAATACAGTTTCTGCTAGGGTTTTTTTTAACTCAGAGGCAGTAACCGCCAATTAAAGACAGTGGTGTCCTTGTTAAGCCAAAAAGGAGTTCGCATAGGAACACGACCACAGCAAAAAATTACCCCCTCCCCCATGAAAGAAAGTTAACGACACTTTCAGTAGGAATAGGATACATTTCGCATACTTAGGATAGCAGAGCAACTCAGAGGGGAGCACTCTTTTGTCAATACATACAGAAGAAAAATGCGTGGAAAGGAAGTCTACACAGCGGAATACTTCCCATGCATGTTGGAAAGGAACTAAAAGTATCTGTTTTAGGAGTCGAATTTGGCTAATGGAAAAAGGCTGAGACGTAGATATAGAGAGCACGTAAGCAAGATCATTCCAAAAATGAAATGCTGGTCGCGAAATTTGCAAGAAAAACCTCCGATTTACAGTGCGTCAACAGAAAGCGAGAAGGAAATTAGGATTATAGACAAGTTGAAGTTTGCGAATTGCAGCGTAAAAATCACTGGATGAATCTGTCCGATGAGTGACAAAAGTAGTGAAAATTTACATGAAAAGGATTGACCTGAACTGCTGCGCCGGATACAGATGGTTGTAACGGCACGATACCGCAATGTTTAAATATTCATCGAATCGCTCCAAAAAGGTTGAAAGTTGATGAAGTGGGCTGAAAGTGAACCGCCAATTAACTACTTTAATTGTTAACATTAATAGCGATTGAAATTCGGTGATGAAAACAGGTAAGGAGACGTGAAGGTACCATCCCCAAGTTCTTGAAACTCGGGGGATCAAAAAATTCAAGGATTAAAAAGCACTCCCGGTGTGTATAATGCTCTCAGAGTAGAAGTGGTAGCGGGATAAGGGCGACGCATCCTGCTAAGTGTTGAAATGCTAAGCCTTAACGGAACGGATGCGGAGAGCTTCCTCTGCTTTCTTTAATTCAGGCAACTATTTTCATCTCAAATACACCACCTAAAGTTCATTCACTCGCATTAAAATTAATTAACATTACGAATAGATGTAGCAAGCGCTTGCCTTTAAACCAGGACCTCACTGTTAGTTTAAACAAATGCGCCTATACAAAAGAAGAACGATGTGCAGACCTGATACCACCGTATACTCAATTATTGAACTGGATGGGAATAAATGAATGCTACAGGGGCGGAATCATAAGGATGGTATTTTAGAAAATGCTGAAATATTTGTCTTGAACTTTAAAGACCTAAATTTGCGGACTAATCTTGTGACAATATAAGTAGGCGAGAAATTCGCCTAAATATAAAGGTTCTACATGAACATGAATCTTTGGGGCTTACTGCTTGATGCTTTCTGCGAATCCACATTGCAAAGCTAGTACGTAGCAAATCAAACCGATAAAGTTCCCCAATTCAGTTCAAGGAAAGAGGAAGACAGGAAAATACCGTGAAGTTACCTTGGGCGATTTAGCACGGCAGAAAACATTCCAGAAACGCAATGTTTCGTCTCCGGCGCCGGTGACGATGTTCTCGCCATCGGGAGAAACAGCGAGGTAGAGAACACGCGAGGAGTGGCCTGTAAGCTTCGCCAGTTGACGCAACGAGGGGTATTGCCACACGAGGATCTGATTCTGGGAGTAGCCGTGGGTGCTTACCAATTCATTGTTGTGCTCTGACCAGGCCAGATTACATACCTAGACAAAAAAACTACACTGCAACGCAACTTTGGAAACCATACGATTGTTCAAAGTAGATTTGTTAATGAATTCGCAAGGAAGGACCACATTTAGTTAGCCGTATCTAGCCCGGACCTAACAAACGACCGAAATAGTTACCGAACATGGACATTAGAAAAAAAAGGGTTCCTGCTTCGCGGTTCTTATTTCAATCTCAATTGCTGGAGGTGCTCAGGCAAAAGAATAAAAAATAACAGCACTTTTACATCTAATACGGACAAAAATGAGTATCCAATGGAATTCACGCACTTTTTTCTTGTAAAAGTAATATCTAGGCAGGAGTGAGACAAAGCCGAATCCAAAATGGAAACTGATTGAGGCCATAAGCTTGGCACCAAACGAAAGATATCAGGATACAATAAAGACCTAAAGTTCCCCTTATCGAAACCATGAGCCGGCACGAATCAAATCCCATAACCTACGTAATGATTTGTGTGTTGCGATTGTGAGCTACGGCAAATACACAAAATATCGCCATTTAATGGAATCGAAGGAGCGGTAAACCATTGAATTAAATAAGGAGTCATGTTTCTAGGCCATTAAGTGCCTGATGGTTAATTTGCCAGAGTTATCAAAGCAATCGTATAAATACTTCCAATTGGAAAGTACTTCACAATAACTCAACCTGAAAAGAAGAGATTCACCCCTTCCAAACGATGGCAGACTGTCAACTAATGCCGGTTTTCACAAATTCAAACTCAATGAAATCAACTTTGGCTCCTAACGAATGCAGCACATTTGCATAAAATTTGTTGATCTGATTAATCTTTGGACCAGCGAGTGGGATTTTAGATCTTGAAAGTACATTATTAAGATTCTAGCTGAGCTTTAATCAACCACTTTTCACCATATAGTTGAGAAATCCCTTGGAATAAAAAGGATAACGACAATCACCTCAAATAACATGAACGCGCCCGATTGAATAGCGATAAAGGGTCGAAGACGATCAAGTGGTTACTCAAAAGTAGCTTGGTCATGGAGCAGGAGAACAGCAGGTAGTAGGGGCAACAGATGCGCCCATTACGTACTAAATGTCACACGAATCTTATCAGAACTAGTCGATCAGCCGCCTCAGGGGAGAATGTGCAGCCTTTAGGCATTGCATCCATTCAGCGACGGATCGCAACTCTATTCAGGTATAAGCCTCTCGGTAGATGAGGATAAGAAAACAGTCAACATGGCTAAGCCCACCTGGAAACTCCGAACACTTGTGATAGTCGGATCAACAAACAATGATGCCGCTATTTGAGCAGGTGTGAAAACTGCACGACGAAATATTGAATCTGGACTAACCTGGCTTTCAGTCTCGATAGAGCGCAGAGCTTGGCCGGAGAGAGTGTTCCAGAAGCGAATGCAGCGATCGGCCGTGCCTCCACCGCTGGCCAGGAGACCATGTTGGTGAGGCGACCAAGAAATGGCTTTGACTGCGGCCACGTGCTCTTCATAGGAGAGGATAGGAGTTGAGAAACTCGCCACATGCTGACTCCACACCAAGAGACGGTTGTCGTTGCCACCGGATGCTAAGTATTGATTATCCGGGGACCACTTCAAACCACAAACCTTCAAAAATTTTTGGCAAATAAGTGAATTTCAAGCGACAACTTTAATAAAGAATTCGTTAATTGGTTTTGAAGTACGCCTATGTTTCAAGGCGTAAAACCTTTGAACACGATCGGGCAAGTGCCGCTGAAGTGTTAATTATGCCGAATACCTCTAACAAACTTAGTAATTTAATGTTGTGTGATTCACACAAACACCAAATGTTGAGGCGAGCATTAACATGTTCAGTTGTGAATTGTCACAAGTGAGAAGCTGTCGACAAAGCCCATTCCATAAATGGCAGTGTTCATCAATAGCTTAAATAGCGCTGCACCTGGACTTTCTTAAGAGCAAGCCAAAAGTAAATGCGCAGAATGCAAAGGATGGAAGCTCAAAGCATTCAACTCGCTGACTGTAAGCCTGAATGGAGGTTCGCGCAAGTAGACCAGACTCGAAATAAGATGGTCAAGAGTATGACGAAATGTCAACTCACGATCATGTAAATATACAAATCGAAAAGGCCAAGGTTATATGCACAAGTCAATTTGGCCCAACGCAAAATTACGGTACTAAACAGGTGTGATGACTGGCACGCAAAATGCAAAACAAGAGTTATTTTTCCCAACAGATTCCTCCAACAACAGTGTAACGAAATGAAATCCTCTATAACTAGATGTGATAAAGCTTCAATCCACCTTGACTCTGACTACGTTTGTACAAGTACTATTCAATGAAATCAAGTAGAACAATACTTAAAATCACGACTTTACTATATCATTGGAATTCAGGAAAATACTAATGGTGACTTCGCAAAGGAAATAGGTAGCCATAAACTACGAAAGTAAATTTAGTGACATTGTGAACAAAAAGACATCAAAGTTTATTCCTATTACGAATTCATTGTACCAAGCGGCCCACAAGGAGTTAAACCTAGGCACATACCTCCTGCTTATGATCCTTGAGAACGCGAACGCTTCCAGGACAAGTGTTACCCAGATCAGACGGAATAAGACCGCCGTACGTTGGAAGTAATACGCTGCTAGCAGATGTACTACCAGTGGGAATGTTAGGACCGAAGGAAGCACGAGTAGAATTAGAAAGAAGCTCACGGTCGATGTGCATAAGGGAAAGGGAGGAAGAGGAGGCAGCAGAAGTGGAAGTAGAAGTGGCAGACGGTGTAGAGGCTGAGGGTACATCACTGTGGACCTCTATGCCCGACCATCCAGTGGTAGAGGGGTGCGAGAGACCACCGCCTGAGGTTGGAGCGGCTCGGACATCGCGAAGAAGAATTTGACGGTCTCGAGATCCCGAGGCCAGAAGATCCCCGTTCCATGCAAGCGCACCTACACGCGCTACGTGGCCCTCTAATCGACGGATGCACCTAGTAGCTTCGACGTCCCAGATGAGCACGCGACCACGATATGTTGCCACTGCCAAGTTGGTACCCTGTTGTAGTCAAGTCCCATTTATTACCTGAGTTTTAAAGACCTCATCCTTTAACTCACATAACTAACACAATCTTATCCATACCTTCTTAGTCCACGAGACGGAGGAGATAGCGTCGGTGTCATCGGAGAAGTCGCAGAGCCGTGTCACCTGACTAGTGTAGGCGTTCCACAAGTACACACTTGCCCCTAAACCAACTGCAAGCACGTTTTGGGATGACCAATCAACAAGATTGAGATAAAAATCGTCTTGTAGGTCCGGGGCATCTAGTACCTTGTAGGGCATCCGAGGTATGTAGCGCGTAAACTAAAAGTAAAAGGATTAGTGAATGCCAAATCTGCGGACCCTTGCATAATAGTTCTCCTGTAAACTTACTTTCTGAGGAGCCTGAAGGAGACGCTGACTTTTTTCCGACACTGGAGATAGTGAATATGGGGATGATTTTAATTTACAAGGGCTCTCCTTCCTAAGTTTAAACTAAAGTGGAAATATTAATAAGTTATGCGACCAAAATCTACCCACAGAAAAAATGTTCGAATTCTCTCGAGGAGCAAAAATGGTTGTGTCATTCATTGTGCCGGTAGCAAAATTTTGATTGTATGAATCAATATTTTCAACGAGTTCGTTGTGCACAAGAGTTGAGACAATGGCCAAATGTGGCGGGTAATCGACAATTGTTGAATCTGAACTACTACGGGAAAGTGTTGAAATTAGATTGGGATTCGACTGGTTGCCACGCAATGGGGTTGCTTGAGTGTTGGTTGTTCTATTAGCTCCCGCGTTTGAGAGTGAACTGGGTGATGCTTCATCTTGCCCATGCACAACAGGGGATGGTTGAGAAGTAGATTGAAACAGACATTTAGATACCTCAAATGACGGATTCTTCCATTTAGCGTTGGAGCGAGAGGGGATATACCGATCCAAATAGTTGTCCTTTGTTGGTGTCTTCATAGGACTGCTAGATTTTATTGGCTAGACCGTTAAAAAATGAATGAAAATAAGTTGATGCCAAGCTATGCTTGTATACTTCTATTGTCTAAATGATCCACTCTCTACCGTAAATGACGCACGTGTGATCATAAGGTAATGGAGGGCAAGGAGAAATAGGCGTTTCTACAATAACTCAAGATATTGCTAAGACGACAACAAAGACAATAGGCCAATAGATAGCGTGTAAGGAAGGGGTTAGGTCGGTACCAACTACTGGATGCAATTTCAATGAACAACTGGCAAAAAATAACGGAAAACCAGACAAAATAAGAAATTGCTCAATTCCACTTAACAACTCCGGCAAATTTGACATCGTTAACTAATAAGACACCCATTTAAGAGCGTTACCGATTTGTAAGGCGATCCGAGTAGACGCTTCTCGTATCCCTGTTCCATGTCTGTTTCCAAAGCCACTTTTATGAAAAGCAAAACAGTGACAGTAGAAACCGCCTGATTAGCTAACAGCTGATTGGACGAGTAAAACACTTGGGAGATAAAAATACAACATTCTTATAACTGTAATTAATTTTGGATACAATGGGACGCACCAAGCAATATTAAAGAAAATATGACTACGTGTAGACAAAATTAGAACATTTTCTAACAAAATTACCACCAAAATTCGAGTAGGAAGAATATGATACTATGACAAATATCCAAATAACAAAACGATTCTATTGTGTCAAAAAAACCCTACCATTATTCATGAAGCGATGCATTTAACGGTTTGTTTATGTGATTATCTGACGCTCGGCGATCACTTAAGACTTGTAAGACCCTTATGTATGTGGGTTTGACTTCGGGCCACGCCCGGGCTCATTTGCTTTAGTCTCTTTGTAATACATGTATCCAACGTCATTTTCTGCCTTATTCCATCGTGTGCGAAGTCTTGAAGCGCCCCACTGACGACATCGGAAAGCAAACTCGACATGTTTTCAACATCTCCGATAGTATCACGTACCGTTTGCCGCATATACCAACGAATTGGAGGAGACGTATTTACCTAGGCTACAGTGACTTACTGAATTCCTCACGTCGAAAGGGTCCAGTCAGATATCCGTTTTCGGCTTAATCCTATTTCCGTGTTCCACACACACACTCCTGTACGTGTGAGTTAGTCTTTGAGCCAGATCAAAGACCAGTCCCTACTTCTCATCCTAGCATATGTATGTCCACTCAACTCAATGCCTCTGACTACCTAATTGGAAGTCTCGGTG